CATTCGCCGTGTTTTCATGCCCAGCTCCCTGCCAAGCTAGCTTTCGTCCCTTACCCCTTGGCCTCAAGTCCAATGTAATCCAATGTAATCCATAACAATCCACATATCCATTTCAAATTTCAACTGTGCATATCTTGGACATAGGAAGTACAGAGGACTATTTGGGATGTAGGGTAGTAGGGGATGCAGGAACAGTGCCGGTCTTCTGCAGCATTAAGCAACATGCTCTGCCTTTTGTTGGTCACTTGGTCTCTCAAACTTGCACAAACACACAAGTGCATACTGTACACTGTACACACCCACCATAATATAATATAATGTATATATATATATATCTATATATATAAAATATACATGGACACTGTATCTACTGAGACAACGTCAATGTCAAGTCAAGTCAATTATTCGCGGTTGTGATTCTGCTCGGGCAGGTTGCTGTACACCATGCACCGCCATGAGCTTGAACCTGATGCTGTTACCATGACCGCTGCTGTCGGTGCTTGCGCTAGCGCCGCCAAGTGGGAGAAAGCGCTTGGCGCCAAGTTGTCCGTTGACCTTTCTTTGCAGCGAACATGGAATTAGATACATGAAGCATCATGAAGCAGTTGGTCAAAGAATCATGAACATTGAACATTCCATGGATGTACTTCTCCGTCGCAAGAGACAGCAACATAGTGAATCATGGTGAGACTATTTCAAGACTATTGCATTTGTCGTTTTTTGTCGAATAAACTGAGTCGGCTCACATTAGCTCTCTTTGATCTGCGAGGCTTCTTGCCTTGTTCACTGTGACAGACCACAGCTCCATTACAGTCGCAGGTGGCGTGCTTGCCATTTCCTGTTGCGTGAATCAATCAAATGCCTATATATATATATACATACTAGCGGGGACCAGCAGTTAGAATATGAAAGTTGGGGATTTATCGAAGTGAATTCTCGCCGGCAACAAGATCGCCGGGGAAGGAATTTGCAGATAGAATATGCCAGATGTGGGGTGCAGATAGAATATGACAGTACATAGTATGTATGGCTATATGACTCGACTCTATGTTCTGAGAGTTTTCGAAGGAATTGACATAGCTGTTGAAACAGATGCGTATTTGGTGGCTTTGCTATGCAAACAATGCTTTTCGAACACAAGTTTTGTCGTCAATCTTTCTCCCTTAAAGTTGTTGATTGGAACGGTACAGACTGTTTGCTCTCTTCCTGAGTTCTTGTGGTGAAGAATGTGCAGCACCGGCAGCACCACGCAGAATACCAGCAACCAGCTTGCTTAACGCAATGTAGTTTTCACAGTGATTCCTTCTGGTATGGAGTCTGTTCTGGCTGCTGAAATAGATCTGAAGTCTATCAACTTGTCGCCAACAAGTATAGTAGATTATTGTGGCCAAAGTTTCCCCTGAGGTTGGGGTGGTACGGTACGAACTTGCTTGTCTTCTTGTGAAGTCTGGTTGTGAAGATGTGCAGTTAGAATATGGTTTCGATGGTTTTATCATCACTCACTTCACCACCAACACAAGCAGCACCATGCAACCACGCAGAATACCAGCAACGTTTTCACCATGTTTGCTCTTGCATGGGTACCATGGATTCTGTTTTGGTTTCCGACATGCTGAAATAGATGCTGAAATCCATCAATTTGTCTCGAACGAGTACGGTAGATTATGTTGGCCACATTTTTATCTCGGACCTCGAGATAGCGATGGAGAGAGAGAGAGAGAGAGACACGTGCGTAGGGTGTAGAGTTCTCTTGTCTCCAAAAACAGTTTTGTTTGCTAAAGCACATGTGCGATGCATTCTTAGTGAAGTTCGTCATATGGTTGACCTTTCCTTGTGCCTTGCAACCTTGACTCTGGCACAGTATATTGTTTGGGAGCTGTGTGGTGAGCTTGGTTGTGATGTACTTGCCACATTTTGTTTGGGACAAAGTGCGTTGAAGAGCATGCGGTTTGTGTTGCCTACAACACTGCCCACTGCCAGCTTTCCTGCATCATTTCCCAGTTGACTTCTGTTGAAAACACATTTTTGGAGCCTCTGAGATTTCTAACAACAGCGGTGTTGCAGCAAGGAAGGTAGTCGGCTAGCCACTTGTTTCGATATGAAATTAGACCAGTCTCAAAGTAAAGATGGAAGGTGCGACATGTTCCCTCCCACCACCTAGGCACCGCCAAGTTGAAAGGACCTTGGCTGAATTTGCACAAACAAATCATAATTTTCATGCCAAATTCACTGTTAAGTTCTTGAGGTGGGAGAATGGTGGCTCAGGGATCACTCTTCGCCAAGGTGTACTTATACCATCTTTTACCATCTTTCGAAAAGATCAAGAAACGTTGGATTTGATCGATGTGCCGTCGATGTGCTTGTTGATGCCGAAGACTGAGGGTATGTTACGGTATGTTAATGTTTTTCTTTTCTCTCCAGAGCTTGAAACATGTTCTACAGTAAACATACTAAAACACTGGAGATGCCGTTTGACAGATTTGATAGTGGGATTACCAATGACAATGCCAGATCCAGGGGGTCGGATTTGGATGGACAATCGATTTGGATAGGGTTCAGCTTTCCGAAATTTGTTGTTTTCTCAGGTTCGTTTCTGCGTGTTTCTGATGTTGTTGGTACTTAATAGCGTTCCAGGCACAGCGCTGAATGCAGCATGCAGGGCTTGTCGCTTGGGAAGCTCTTGGGCCACTGCATTCGCTTTGCTTAAGCAAGGTAATGGTGCCCTGTCATGCCCTGTCTACTCTTGCTGCGTCGCCACTGATAGAGCATGATAAATGATAGCGTTTCATTCAAAATATCAATGATGGTCCTTTGTGGTTGAGAGATATCTTTGCTATGTCATGATTGTTATATATTGTTATGATTATCACTGCTGCCAGTGCAGTTTTGTTAGTTGTTGTTTTTGTTGTGGCTTTTTGATATCATTGGATGCTTTTGGCACCTTGTGGCAATGGCTGCTGCGGTCTTCCGTTGAGGCGCCCCAGAACTCGCGGCCTGCCGTGCAGCGGTCTTGGCTGCTGAAGATTCCGGCACTCACCGTGAAGCTGCGGCTGTTGCGGCGCTGCGGAATGTGGCACAAGGAGCATTGTGTGGTCAAGGCCGAGGTGTGAAGTTCTGGGGCGAGTTTGCACCTTGGCAAGAATCGAAAGACTTCGAAAGTGTGGAGCGGAACGTGAGGGCATCATTAATTATTTTATGTATTACAAGATAGTATTGTATATTTTCTTCTGTTGTGTTTTAGTAAATTATATTATATTTGAATAATATTATGTTATGTTTTACTAAGTTTTAAATTAGCATTATATTATTTTTATTATATTATATTATTTTATTATGTTATGTTATGTTATACTATTTTGCCTAATATTATATTATGTTATGTTATATTATGTTATATTATATTATGTTTTATTGTACTGTATTAAATATTATAGTATATTATTGTTTATTATGTTATATTATATTATGTTATATTGTATTATATTCACCCGAAACTCTATTGATTCCGATTATGCTGAGGCTGGTGCCGCGAACCACTTGACGCAACTGGAGCCCGGGCAGGGACGCCTCCTATCAGTGAGCGCACAGCATATTTGGAAAACGCTTTCAGGCCAGTGTGAGGACTATTGGGACACGGAATCCACAATGCTTTCTACTTTGGCATTTGCCTACTGTCGAGTATTTTGTTCATAGAAGAAACGGCAAAATTCCCTTTAGAATTGAGACAGAAGATGGCGTTTGGACTTTGCATGGATACGATATCGAGCGGACGAAACTTGTTTTGCAAATTGATTGACGTTGTGTTTTCGAAAGGACACGTGAAAGACACACTGCCCCTGCTTCCAGACACAGAGTTCAGCATGTCAGGTGGCGACGCAACTGGAGCGAGGCCTAAGGATTTCTTTGCAGTTGGCAGTCTGAATGCCAGAGATGTGATAGCCAGATCTGGCCACTTTCCATTCGCGAAGGAGGCCAGGGAGCATGTATCGCTTCCAGAGAGCTGTTCCAGAGAGCTGTTTATTGGTCGTGGATGACGCTTCTGCATTGAGACTTTGTTTCAAGGCCGATGAATGGCCGATCCAGACCCATGTAGCCATCGATTGGAAGTGTTACAGTGTTGTAGTTTGGAGTAAGCCACAATTGTTCCATTTCCAGAGATTCAAACAAGTTGTAAGAACGTCTCAAGTTTCATTGCCTGATGCTTTGATGCTTTGAATTTTGAATCTTAACGCTCAGGGGACCAGCGTTGCCCGTGTGGCAGTAAGCGCTGCCTATTTGGCTTCTGCAAGCGATGACAAGGGACCACCGCCCCTCCCAAATGCTGCCTCCGCTCAGCAGCTAGTGGCGTGGTGTCAAGCCGACTTGGCCACCTGGCGACCAAGAGACATCAGAGACATCAGAGACTCAGAGAGATACACAAATCATCAAACCCATCAAAAATCAACCATATTGAATAATCATCAAGCACGAAACCAAATCCGCCTGTATTGTGTATTATTGTGCTACATCCACATCCGCTTTGCTTAGCTTTCTCGAAGTGCAACACTGGCACTACGTAAGTTTGCAGAATACTCTGTTACTGGATCCTTGGATTCTGGGATTGTGGCAAACAAAAGTACAATAGAACATTGTAGAACTTGAAGTTTCTCAAACGAGCTGCCTTGGCATTCTGAGCAGCACTGTGCACACACCGTAGGTGATTCCGCCTCCTCCATTGTCACGAAGAGTTTGGCGCTTCTTGCAAGCTGTGGCTGCTACCTCTCGCCGGATCATGCAGTTCAAGCGTCCAGTTAAAAAAGTTGGAAATTGCAGCCCGGCGTTGACTGTATGGACCTCACTTGAGCTCTTTGGTTAGCAGTTTCTGTGTGTGATAGAATCAAAAAAAATCCCTTCGAAACTCACATGGCATTCTGGCGGACATTGCGCCTGGGGACCCAGTATTAATGGTATGATAGTGAGTGGATGACTACACATGACTACTGTATATGATTTATCGCCAGGACAAGCTTGGGACCCTGCGGAAAGTCGCAAAGGACCTCTGAGAGACAAACCTGTGCTTCAGCATGCAAGCGAGACAGAACAATATAGTGAAGACTCAAGACTGTACTTGGAAGATGTTGGAAGATCTTGCAAAGTTGGATCTATGTGGAAAGACACACACACATATATATTTATATATCAGCTGATCAGCAGCCCTTGTCATTCCTTGTCATTCCAGGATCCTGAATTAAACGCGGTGCAGCTTCACTTGGCGTCTTGGGGCCCGATGCTTGGGTCATTAGCTTGGCCTCTTGAGTCTCGCACGTTAGACGTCTCCAAATATGCGGCATCGATGTGTCTCCAGAAACCCTTTGTCTAACACAGGCAGCCCGCTTGCATAGGACATCATAGGACCATTTCATACCATTTCCACTTTTGTCAATCAACCGCTTTCCAATTTCCAAGCCGCAAGAGGCTACTGCACGCAAAAAGACATTGATGTGGCAGCTGCCCTAGAAAAACAGAGGGCTTGAGAGAACGAGATCGCAGAGTCCAATGCTTTGGAACTATGGCAGTGGAAGTGCTGCGTTGAGGTCAAAGCTGGCTTGCTGGAGGGCATCTCACTTCTGAACCAGCCAGAAATGGAGGCCTCTTTGGCTGCGGGCGTGCCTTCAGAACTACAGCCGCAGAGCCATCACTTTGAAAGACGCTGAATGTAAGACAGTCGTATTCTATCCGATTGTAATTCAAAGCTAATTGAGAAGAGGACACAGCATGACACCACACTGCCACAACCCCGTTTTGGCCCCTGCCGTCGCTCAGTCTCTGGGCGTCTCAGAGCCGTGGCTCTACTGAATGGCAAGTGCTGCGGATCATACCCACATTGATATTGGCAGTAGGGTCATTTTTGCTCTCAAAACCTGCAGCAAATAAAGCATCTCAATAAACTACATCAATTCAATTCCAAAAGCAATCTATACATCATTTCTGGCTGGGCCCTCCTGAAGGTTGCTACAGAATATAAAGGCAAGGCAAATGTAGAATTTGGGCAAAGCTCCTGTGGCTCATGAGATGAACAAAGATCAGAACCATCAACCGCACAGTAACTCTGTGCACCTTCTGATAGGCTATGATAGGTTATGAAACAAAAAGGAAGTGCCAAGATTGGCAATGAAAGGTGCACTGCAGCGTTGAAACCGAACTGAACGAGCGGTGCGCATTGGCTCGCAAAAAAGCGTCGTGCTTTGGTAATGTTCCGTCGTGTGATAGCTGCTGTAGGCTGCACCAGACCAATGACCAATGCCTCAAGCACGCATCAAACATGCAAAGAAGCCTGAACTATCCCCTAGGCACATTTGGCAGCTAGAGATGCGTGCAGAGAGCAAGGGAAGCTGGTGGTTTTGACCTCAATCTCAACATCAAAAAGCACAAGCATTCGATGATTCCATTGCATCAAGTGCCTGTGCAGTTTGAAGCATTTGCAAGCTTGCTTTGGTCGACTGTGCCGCAAACGGCCACACCGTGTGACTTTGGAGAAAGCCTAGAAGTGTTACTGTACGCTTTGAATCAACCCAGGCTTTGCAGGCGCGCTGGCGGCGCTTTCAAGCGATCAAGCTTGAGGTTGGATTTGTAGTCACTGGGGTTGTGGCCGCACTGTGACAGGAAAGGAGGGATACAGCCACACTGATCCTTGAACTTACTGAATATTCTCAATGTGTTCGTTCCCTTTGACGCAAACTGCAAACTATGCAGCTCATGGAATGCTTCTTCTCCAAGTGAAGGAAGTTCGGAAGATTTGGCCCACATGGAATCAAATGGAATCAAATGGATACATCTGGATACTATGCCAGTTACTATGCCAGTTATGCTTTGAGCATCACAATGTGTTGGAGGTGCAAAAGCGCCGACGCCGGCGGCAGCTCCGTGGAATTTGGAGAGCTTCAACAGCGTTGGTGTCGGGAGCTCACAGACACCCCTAGAAGTAGGAAGTCTTGGAAGATTTTGGAAGATTTTGGAAGACTTGTGAGTCTTCAGAAGTTCAAGTAGATTTAAAAATATTTAAAATGTACTCAAATAATCTTAAATATAGTTATATAATAAATATATATATATAATATATAGATAGTTATAGTATCAAATAGTCTAATAAAGTCGAAACATGTCGAAGCAGCCGACCAACAATCCAATTTTATTCTTGTCACGTCTATTTTTCCTGGCCCACATACCAGGAGACAATTTGTGCACGATGATGCCATGTTGCTGTAAATTTCTGGGTCTTTTATGTCTTTTTGGTCTTTTGCCGCGCAGGAACACATGCAGAGTTGAAGAGACTTGCACCGTTCCCTCAAAAACTTCCGTACCCATACTGTGGAGCATTTCTTCCACACAATGCAATAAGTTGGTGCTTGAGGTTTCGAGAGTACGAAGTGCGGGAAGTCCCCTAAAGACTTGGTTGGTTGGCCAATACAGGACCTGCGACCCCGAATTGAAATCGGGCTCAACAAAGCGACCCTTACATCCAGCCACTGTTCTAGGTGCCTCCCCTGCGATTGGATCCCCTTACTCGTGTTGAGGTCAGAGTTGCAACGAAGGCGACGCATCCTGCGGCTGAGACGCCAGAAGGAGTTGCTAGGCGTTTTTTGGTGCTCTGCACGGTGGCTGTCTGAGCCTGAGTATCTGAAACAAGCTGAAGCAATTATAGGCAATGTTTAGTATTGTTATATGGCAATGTTTAGTGTTGTTATAAAAGTAGTAAACTATATAGTACAGTACACGACATAGTAGGCTATACTAAGTTATAGTAAGTCATACTAACTTACCTTTGACTTGCTTTGAATAGCTTGAACGTTGATCGGGTTCAAGACCTTGATGCGCTGCAGATCTTGAGGCAATTGTTGGCTTCCCTGCGACGTCAGTTTTTGCGGCGACGTAGCCGGCGCCTGTTGGCAAAGGTTCGAGCGCTGGGTCAGATGTTGCTGGGAGGCCCAGATCACGCAGAATAGGTCGCGACTTGTCTTCACGTCATCGAGCAATATCTTGCGGCACAAGTGATGGTCTTTAGGCAACAAGCATAGAACCCATTCATCAGACATGATACGAGAAGATGAACATGGATCTTCGCAACAATTTTCAAGATCTTCAAGGCATCACATTCATGGCAGAACTAGTGGCGATTTTGGGAAGCAACGCGTTTCGCAAACACTTACCTTCGTCCTGGTAACTATAGGTAATCATGAAGGATGTCCCCCTCTTGATCGTTCAGGTGCTCCTTT